CCCCCCCGGGCGGGGGTCAACGCACGATTATATCATGTACACACACGTATATACATATCGAGCGAGACTCGTGGCGTGTCTTGGGTCTGTCGTCTCGCCAAGAAGCGAGCCGATGCATATGACGCGTGCTTCGAAAAGCTCGACTCCCGAGCATATAACGCCTATGTCATAACTTTACCGAGAGCTTGACCCCTATATTTTTTTTTAAACGTAGTTTTATTTTATAAACAAAAGATCACAGTCAAGATTCGTTTTATTTCTTCTTCGTGATAATAATAACGAATCGCTACGAGCAGTCGAGCTTGCGATAATGCCCTACTACTGCTACGAACACCCGCTTGTCTTTTCTATATATACGTATACATACGAATGTTACGCTGTTTCGTTTTTTATGCTCGCAGCGCGCATAGGGTGAGTTTTGCGGAGGAACGACGTAGTACAACGTAGTGTATATACGGACAATAATATACGCAAGACAGAAAGAGAGTGACGCATACAGAAACGCGCGTGGATATGTATAGGCGTTACTATCGCTGTACTGTTGCTGCTCCCTTGATCGATAATTTTACCCTTAATGTATTGCCGGCTACGTTGCGCGCGTGTGTGTGTATACAACGCCATTAGTGCACGTTTTAGACTTGACTCGATGTTACATATAGGTGTACACGTCATCGGCACGGGTGGGACAGCAGCAGCACCACGCGGCTCGTGTTATATATACACCCTCTCTTTCTCGAATAAGTGCATGCGGCCTCGATTGGTATTACGCATGAATATCTGAATGAATGCGACGTAATTTCTCTCGTCCCCCGAAACGTTGCCGTTTTAGTGCGCTATATAGTCGATATGCATTCATCAATTTTTTTTCCTTTGCTGTAAATAATAATACGATATTTCGTCTCTCTCGCTCAGGTCACGTGAAGAGGCCGAACCACACCAAGTACGTGGCCTGCTACTTCCAGAGCTGGGCGATCTATCGCAACGGCGACGGCATCTTCCAGATACAGGACATCAAGCCCGAGTACTGCACGCACCTCATCTACTCGTTCGCGGGACTGAACGGCACGAGCTTCCACATCAAGAGCCTGGATCCCTGGGCCGATCTTAATGATCATAATGGTGAGAGTGCGAGACACGAGACTGTTTTATTCATGTCATCAAATTGATTAATTTTTATTTGTAATTTATTAGTCTCTAAGTCGAAGATTGTAGGGTGACCAAACTAATAGATCGATTGGTTATTTGAATTATTTTAAAATATTCAATGAGTGTAAATGTTTTATTAACTTATGATAATTTATTGTTATTTAAAACTACCGTTACATGATCATTGAATATCATAAAATAAAATGATAATAATTATAATCATTAAAATAACTGATCTGCTGGTCTATCTATTGGTTTGGTCACTCTACATATTACACGATATACGATTTTTCATTTCGTAGTTGTCGTGACACAATTCAGAATCACAATACGAATCGCATAGATGCATAGTGTACGCACGATTTCTTGCAATGTAAAACCCTTTGATCTCCATTTATCTATTATTATCAGAAGCACATATAGTAAAACATGATTAGTCCTTTAAAATTGTCACTTTGCATAAAACTGCAGTAGTAATTAGCAATATATGCAAACAGTCAGTAAGTATTGGAACAATTAGATCGCTTACCAAACATCATTAGCGAATCTATACGAAGGGTTTTACCTAACCGAGAACACGTCGTCGATCGTTTGTTTCTTCCGTCTCCCCCCTTCCCTCCCTCCCTCTTCTTCTCTTTCTCATCCTCGAAGAGACCTTGTCGACAGGCAAAGACGGCTACCGCAAGCTCACCCAGCTGCGCTATCAGCAGCCGGGCCTCAAGGTCTCGCTGGCCGTCGGCGGCTGGAACGAGGGCAGCTTCAATTACTCGGAGATGGCCCGTCATCCGGCGCATCGGCGGCGCTTCGTCAACAGCGTCGTCGACTTTCTGCGGGTCTACAACTTCCAGGGCCTGGATCTCGACTGGGAGTTCCCGACGACGAGGGGCGGAGCCGAGTACGACAAGTACAACTACCTGTTGCTCTTGCAGGTACGACACACGTGCTATATAACGGCACGATCGATCGAATCGTAGTACGATTTTCATTTTTACTCTCTTTTTGCTCCGCGCACAGGATCTGAAACAAGCCTTCAGGCAGCACGACTTTCTGCTGACGGCGGCGATATCGGCCGACACGGACACGATGGACCGGCGCTACGACGTACGCCGCATGGCCGAGCACCTGGATTACATACACCTGATGACGTACGATTATCACACGCTGGGCGGTGGCGTCGTCATGCCCAACGCGCCTCTCTACGAAGTCGTGAGTATATCGTCGTCGTCGTCGTGCTTGAAATCGTAAAACCATAAACAGCGACGGAATCGCAGAATTAATTCGACTTTTTTCGCAGAACAAGACGCTGAATTACTTGCTGGAGACCGGAGTCTCGCCGAAGAAGTTCGTTCTCGGTTTGCCGACCTACGGCCGGGCCTACATACTCGCCGACGCGCTCAGATCCCAGGACGAGAATCCCATCGGCAAGCCGGCATTGAAGAGCAGCTGGTCCGGACCTTACAACAGCGAGGAGGGCTTCCTCGGCTACAACGAGGTCAGTATATATATTTGCAAGAATCATGGTCACGACGAATTCGTATATCCTAAATCGTCTTCCTTTAACGCTCCAGGTCTGTAAATATCTGCTGGCCCGCGAGTGGATCGACAAGTGGGACAATCTCAGCAGCACGCCCTACGCCATACAGCAGCACAAGGTGATCGTGTACGACAACGAGCGCAGCGTACAGCTCAAGGTGCATCTGGCCATGGAGAAGGGCCTCGCCGGCGTGATGGTCTGGAGCATCGACACGGACGACTTTCGGGGCGACTGTCACGCGCTGCAGCACTCGCAGGAGCACCGCCAGAGCGGCACGGGCCACGGCCTGTACACGACCTACTATCCGACCACGTCGACGACGCCGCGCTACAGCAGCATGAACAGGCCGCGCAATCGCGCCGAGGAGCTGCTGCGCGAGCGCCAGTATCCGATCATGCAGGCGATCGCCCAGGCCCTGGAGAGGGACTCGAGGGGAGGTGCCACAGTCTCGAACGTCTCCGGCCTGCTGCTCGTTCTCGTCGCGTTGGTGGCTGCGAGAAACGTCTAACCGCGAGCAGCCGAAGATATACTGTAAACAAGGAATAAAGAGAGAGAGAAGGCTCGATAACGCGTAAAATCGCTACATGAATGAGAGAGAGAGAGAGCCGATTTACGCTAGTCAGATGTACGCGATATTTTTGTTCTTCATTTCGTTCGAATAAATACGCGTAAGATCGAGAGATGTGTAATTTACAAACGCGCAAAAGCTTCGAATGGGTGTATCAGAGGTACACGAAAAATATTATATTTAGATTGTAATCGATTATCGGTGAAAAAACGATATTCGAGTGTTCAATTCAATACTGCAGTTTCGAAACCCACGTTTATTATATCATACACTTAGCATAGAAACGCGCCTGTGCCACTGCCACCGCGCGCGCGCTCGTGACATTAAATCGATTAGTAAGATTTTTCCTATATAGATGCAGTTTTATGTATTGAATATTTTGGTGTGAGCTTGTAAAATAGCTACTTTTCCTCAGCTTCAAGACGGCCTTATATATTTCGCCTTGCTTAAGTGTATTATAATGTGCCTATGATAGAAAATCGTTAAGAAAGAGAAAAGTTGTATGTGAACATTTTTTTACCACATTATTCGTGTCCATTTTAGCCGTAGCTATATGCGTTCTTATTTCGTACATTAGCAAATGATAATCGGTTTGTTTATGGTTTGTAAAACTGTAATGTAAGCGACGAATAATTTAAAGTCGATACCGATTCATGAAAACATGTATCTAAATGAAATTTCACGATTTTGCGTGAACGTGTTTATCGTCCTATTATTAAGAAATCACGTGTAAAAATGATTTTCCGATAGGGTTCTTTACCATTACTTTCCTTCGATTGTCAAAAATTTTTATTCTCGTTTCTTAGTGCTGGCCTAAAACATAAAAAAAAATTATCGATAGTACTAGAATAATTCTCGAGTGATTGTAAAAAACTCGTACGATGTCTTCTCTGTAGCGTTAAAAAAAAACATTTAGATTAATTGATAGAGTATCGAAAGTATCGTTGTGCCTTGTGACAAATTTTACAATCAATGAAAAAAAAAAATCGAAAGCCAAACACAAAAAATTATCAACAAATTTAATCAAATATACAAAGTCATATCACATCTCGATAGGACGCGAAACATAAAACAATAACAATAGCCAAGTAAATTTTCGAAGATTTACACTCTATGAGAAACGAATAAAAACGAATAACGATGCTATAACTAATAATATATATATGGATATATTTACAAACTAATTACTGTATATTATAGTCGTAAGTATGAAAGTAAAAGAAACAAATTCGGTAACTGTCCTGTGCGTCACATAGCATTATTTTATGATAAATGTTTAAGCTTCTTTACGAGGGGCCGGATAAAAGACAAAAAATAGAAAAAAAACATAGTTTTTATGTTTCTAATAAATTAATTTGTGAAATACTCCTCGTCTCTGTATCGCTTCATTTTCTACCTTTGTAAAAAAAATACTTGCCATCGACGATCCTGCGCGCAGACGGTCTCGCGCTTGGGTATAGTCTAGTATATAGTATATAGCTCGCGCGTCGACCGGAAACCTGCACAGGGTGTGTGCGCGCGCTCGGCTAGGTTTTTTGTACCCTCTATACTATCATTACAAACTGCGTATGGTACAGTATGTGCCCGGTTGTGCTAGTGATATAAGGGCAACAAAGGGCAGACGGCGCGGAGCGAACCCTATATACACAGCGGTGGGTGAGTCACTCACGGTGTGTACAGTACCTACCACGATACGTATATACTTACCCCGTTGCTGGCGTCGCTCTGGCGGGCGCGCGTATTTTTCCAGCTCCGACTTTTCCTCTCTGTCTTTTCGCTTGTGTGTTTTTTTTTTCTCGTACTGCTGCTGCTGCTGCATCGACTTGGGAGAGAGATGCGCTCCGATCGATCGGTCGGCCTAATTTTTTCAAAGCTTTTAGTTTATAATTTAAAAAATCAAGTATAGTCAATTGCAACGAATATGATATACTTATAAACGGTCGAATCTTATTCCACGAAATTCTCTCTGGTCGTCGGCGACGTCGGTGCACTACATTTTATTACATCACGCGCATAATTCAATTTCATTAAAGAATCTCTCTCTCTGGCCTGCAGCAGAGAAGCTCATCCGCGAAATTCCGCATATAAAAGTACGAGCGGACACGAGCGGGTATATTAAGATAGTCGGCGAAAAAAAATTCCTCAGACAAGCCAAGACTTTATAATTCGTATATCCGACGCCCCGTAGAATATATGCACACGAGGAGTATATTTGGCCCAATTGTCTCGATAATTGAGCTTAATGTTCCAATTAGAAGAAAGGATATTTTTTTTCTTCTCATGCATAATTTTGCACGGCCGAGCGAACCGAGCGAAAAATGCGACGATCGACTTAGCGCGCGCGAAAGCGTCGGGTGGAAAAATAAAAATCATCCAGTCATCGTCGGCTCAATTCTTTATTAATCCCCGGGAAAATCCATCGGAATCAAAGGGCAAACGAACGGACGAGAACAAACATACGATACGAGTCAAGTGTCAAAAGAGACATTTCCTTTCTGTATACATCGTGAAGAAGAAGTAGAAGAAGAATAAGGGCTCGCAGTCTGCGGTGCTCCGCGCGAGCGGAGAGAGTAGACCGCAAGGGTAGTATAGGATAACAGCAGAAGTACACCCCCATTGGTCGCGCGTACACTCCCTCCTCTTCCTCCTCCTACTCCTCTTCTGCTTCTTCTCCTTGTCTTCTTCGTTCTCCTTCGTCGTCTTGGCGTCGTTTTCTCCTCGCACACATATATAGTTTAAGTAAGTACGGGCAAATTTTAGCGCTGATCGCCGCGCAACCAACAGCAGCAGCAGCAGCAGCAACGACTCGTACAATATAAAGCTTTGGCGTTGGCGTCCGCGCGGCGATCGTCTCTCCCAGTATCGTATATAGTATATATACCAACGGACGACGACGCCAAGTCGCCGCCACCGCCGCCGCCAGATACGTGCGAACCATCGTCGAGCTCGCATCTCTCTCCCCCGTCCGTCGTTCCCGAGTGTCCGTTATCGTGTGCGTGTACAACAACAACAACAACACGCCCAACGTCATCCTCCTTCGAGTTGTTTCGTTAAATAGTTGTTCCTTGTTGTAAAAATCGTTCAGTCGGTTTTCCCGGAGGCCGATTTTCACGCCCGTATATACACGCTGGACAAAATGCTGCCGAGGATAACTCTGCTGCTGAGCCTCGGGCTCGTGCTCGTCTCCGGCTATCAGGGTAAGTCGAGCTTTTCTTTTTTTTGCATACGATCACGACAGAATGATAAAGAAAAAGAAACTGGATAAATATATCTGTCGTGTGTACCAAATGCTCCGATATTTTATAAACGCACGGATTTTGACATTTCGAGCTTACGACGCAGCGCTCAAAATCCGATCTCGTATACATTCGTTCGATCGTATCGTATATATAATACAAACACGAGCGATTGGGAAGAGAATCACCACCGTTCCGCATATCGTTTTTCCCGAGATCGTATTATTATTTGCTTTTCTCGATCGTGCGCTCCCTCCCTCTCTCTTAAACTCCGCACCTCCCCCTCGATTCGCGTGCTTGCGCACCACCCGAATCTCTCTCTCTCTCTCGTTCGTGTGTGTATAATAACGATAACATAGATCGATTTATTATCAAAGCTCTGCGAATTGCGTGCAGCTCAGCGCCGGGCCCGTAGTACTATTATCGATCGAATATGCGCTCTCGCGCTTGTAAAACGCACACGCAACGCATAGTATAAATACATAATTTCAGTTGTTGCCGATGTTGTTGCTCGTTGCTGTCGTCGTTGCAGTGATATATACCGCGTCACGCACACCACCACCACCACCAGCAGATAATTGCACCTTTACCTTCGCATTTATCGCGCTTTATACACGATACACGCGTATAATACACCTGCGGCCTGCCCCCGCTGATATAGGCGCGTCGAGATTGAATCGTTTATGCGTTATTTCACCCTTTTTTTCGTTGCAGCGTTGTATATAATATTAGTACTTTGTAAGCGGTGTTGTAAGCGCGTTACGCAACAAACTATATACATGCATAGAGCACGTATTAGCGCGCTTACGAGTGTACCCTGTAATTTTTTTTATCATTTGTTCTGTATATATCTGTCGATCTGTCACTCTCTCTCTCTTTAATTTTCCTCGCATTGTATACTTTTATTGTACTGAATATACCGAGCTATCTCGCAATTCACGAAATGAATCAATTAAGCTCTCGGCCGAGCTCTCCTCGGTATATACGCTTCTCGTTGTATAAGGGCGTATTGTATTATTTACGTAAAAAAAAAATGAAAAGAAAAGCGAGAACGACAGAGAGAGAGAAAGACATAGAGAAGAAAAAAAGGCGCTACTCATCGTCGTCAACTTGGAGTAATTTCATCGTCGTTCGCGCGATTTCGACCATCCGTATACATATATCGTTGGTATTAAAAGTGCTTCCCCTTTTTTTACGCGCGCGAGCGACGCATCTGTATAGGACGCAGCGCACACGAGTAAGATAGAGAGAGAGCAAAATTATTTATGACTCACGTTGTACTGCGCTATATATATAGCGAAGGATTCAATTTGCCAAATTACGCTTGAATAATTACCGAGTCACCGCATCCATTGCCTTGCACATACACATACGTCAAAGTTTATGTGCTCATCTCCGCAAGTGTATACGTATGTGTGTGTTCAAATGTATGTTATATAGTGCAAAGGGACAAAAGGAATTTATCTATGTCCATAATGATACGAGAGCAGATATATATATGGTAGTAGTCGCGCGGTGACGAGACCTGTGTGTGACCTGAATTAGGTGTAAAACGGGACGAACCGAGAGACATCGTAAATTCGATACCGCGCGTTGATCTATCGATCCTGACCCTCTCTCTCTCTCTCTCTGTATCCTATATATACTTGTATACAACGCAACGAGTAGCCGAGACATCATCGCTCGGGTTTTGCTCGCACACATATATATCGCGCGTGGAAAGAAAAAAAGCGCGTACAACGAGTCACGACGTCCACTTCCCCTAAAGAGAGTTGCAACGAGCAAGCGCGTATTATGTACAATACACACTCTATGCACGCGCACACACCCTCGTTTCTGACTTTTACGCGAGCGAAAAATACCAAATATCGTACACATGTGTATACCAAAACTTTCCTCTAACGGCGTTGTCGCCTGCATATAGCGCACGAGCGCTGCGCTCGATAATAATGCAGCTATATATCCCCAACCCCCTCGGTTCGCCCCTCCTTGCGCATGAAAGTGCACACAGTACAGATATATCGCGTATATATATACTTGAATATTGCGTTCCGATGGCGCGACTTTCAGCTCCGCGAGGACATCAGAGCTTGCGAGCGCTATATATAACGTTTCCGTAACTGCAGCTGGAATCAAGCTAGTTTACTCTGGAAAACGATCTTCTCTCTCAATTTCTCTTTCGGTTAAGCTCCAAGACGACTTTATAAAAGTTATTATTTTAAGGTCGACCGCGACGCGCATAATATATATAATACGGAGAGATATTAGAGCGTCGCCACGGTTTATAACAGCAGTAGCAGCAGCAGCAAACGAGTCAAATTTTCTTAATGCGCTTTAATATTATAATGCAGCGCGTGAGCGAGCGAGCTGACGCGCCCATAAGAGCGTTTGTATACGTACGTTTCCGCTGCTGCGCGCCGAGGAACGTTGTCTTGAAAAAGAGAGCAAACGAGAGAGACAGAGAGAGAGAGAGACATTATTTACGGGATCGAGTTTCAGACTTTAGGCTCTATAATAATACGTGTGTGTGTGTGTGTGTGTAACAAGACGATTGAACACCTGCGAGAGAGCTTAAAATAATCATAATGCTGTGCACGAAAAAAAAAACGAGAGCGAAAATTGAGTGTGACCCGTGTACGGCACCTCGTAAAAAAATCGTTATCAAGTACGCGATAACGATTTTTTTTCTTATAAGCTACTGGGTGCGATGAAAACCTCATTTTCTTTCTTCGTTCGTTCTTTTAAGCTTCTATGTACGCGATGTAGAAAAAGTGCATACGACTCCACTCTCTTTTTCATCTATCAGATCGGTATACACACATGCTCGATGCAAAATCGTTTCACGATAATCATAACACGACGAGTAGTATTTGCAATAATACCATTATTACACGATACAAAGCATCCATCTATATTTCTCTCTCTCTGTCTGCGATTGTGCCGTAACAATATAACCCGCGAGCACATAGAAAGTGTCGCAATTCTCGCGTGCGTATACGTCAACATTATCACGTGTCTCCACCTGCCTATATAACATAATAAAACGCGTGTATGCGCCTATTATAATACACGATACGATATCGTGTCAAGGATCGTTACGGCACGAACTTATGTGCTGTGCAGCACGTGTGCGTGCGCGATGCGCTGCGATTTTTCTCCTCGGACTGTATTCAACTTTTTTTTTTTTTCGTTATATTAGATTTTCACTCGCCGCGACCCGAGTATTATTATAAATAAGTGCGGCAAGAATGCGATGCGCCCCGTAATACAGTCGAGTAACAGTAACGGAAGCATAAATCACTCGGATTGTATACATAGTGCATGTGTGTATGCAGTAGTATAGCACATCATCGTCTATATACGTGCGCGCTAATTATCCGGCTCGTGCGCGCGGCCGTTTAAATTGTTACATATTTCTTTTTTTCGCTCTCGAGTTGCGCGCAGCGTACTTTATAATATGTACATTCGTTTCATCCTCATCAAGTCACCGTGGACGAGTCGCCGTGTGGGTGAAAATATTACGTACCGGGTCTGACATTGTAATTTGACTCGACGAGAAAAAAAAAAATCATAAAATTATGCTTATTTTAAGTCGTTATTTTCTTAGCGCGTGCATCGATAATTTTCGCAACGTCGATCGCGAGCTTTTTCGCGCGCCCTTTATATATACAGCAAAACTATATACGTATATATATAGTATAAAATACGAGTGGGGCAGTGCAGCTCGCGGAAAGGGTTGCGAATCGACCTACGGTGCCTCTCTGGCGCGCTGCCGCGTGTGTCATTGGCCTCTTTGGCGTCTCGCTGTCTGTAATAGCGTGTATATATATCGTGTACCTATGCTACGAATGCTAAAACGTTAAACTCGAATTCACGCGGGGTTCGATGCGAAATCAAAACGATTCCAAGTTTTTTATTTTACTTCGATAGTTTTAACTTTCATTCGGATCGGTGAAAATTTTACAATTCTTACCGAGCTACGCGTACAGAGAGACTCGAATTGCACGGTAGTAGGATAGCGATCGATAGCACGACATCCGCTTATTTACAATTCCCAAGCTTCGGGCTAAAAGCTCGATTCGCTTGAAAGCTCGTATGATAAATTCGCTAGTAACACGCGTTTATCAATTGTTTTCAGCTCTTTAATTTTGTTAAAACATAATCGAATTCGTCGTCAAGGTTTTACTCGAGTTTCACAAGAAGTTGTGCAAAGTTCGACCCACAGCGATAAATATTTATCACCAGAAAATTATATCAGGGTCACCCAAGGATATGTTTTTTTTACTCTTATTTTTCTTTCTCCTTTCGTTCGAGGGGTGTGAAAAACCATTCAAATCGATTTCATTCAAAACTTTTTAGTATCGCTTCAAGGCGTAATTCGTAGCGTTGCGTTGAGTTACGCTGCACAAAGCTCTAGACTGTTCTCGTCGTTTTTCTTCTTCAGCTCGATATACACTTTATCGTTGCATAAAAAATTATTATTCAAGGCACACCGTTAAAACAGATAAAGGATCGTCGTATTTCGTGCGTTTCGAGTTCGGATCGAGATCGGAACGAGCGACATATTATCGAACGCCCACCCACACAACGATCAACAATTTATCATTCGACGCGTGCCGTCCTCGCCTATGTTTAGATAATGCGAACGCGGTCCCCGTACGCATCGTACGTGTTTTCTTTTTCTTTTTTTTTTTTTTTTTTTATTTTCAATCTATCTCGTTCTCTCGCGCGTTTATACGGAGTCGGAAACGGCTCGAGAGCTCTCGCGACTAATTGGTTTACACATCGGGCTCTCGAGAGTGACTTATATGGATTGTTATCGCGCGAGGCGCATCGCGCGCGCTACTTTTCAGCGCGTGTGTGTAGCGCAGTAGTTTAATTGCACTTTTTTTCTCGTTTCCTCGATATACGACATTTTTTACGTTATGTCTCGAGGAGTGATCTTTTTTGGATCACGTGGTTCGAAAAAAGTATGTTACCGATTACGTAGGAAAAACGTGTCCCAGGAGTAATTTAGCGATCGATTCTGTTGTATACGCCCTTGGAGATTTCTATTCTCCGAGCGAGAAGAGAAAAGAGTCGAACGGTTGTAACGTAATAATAGATGCTGATTAACCTTAATAGTGTTATTGTTATGTGCGAGTACCAATGAAAAATTAGGGATTGCTCGTACTAATGCGTAATGCATTGAGTTGTCGCGCGTGGTCATAGTTTTGTTTGTGTAACGATTGCACACTCTAGGCTATATTGAAACATAAAGTAAAAGAAGTGTTCAGAAAAAACTTATTTTCTTTGAGAAGTAGTTCAAAATTTTTACCCATGTGAAAATAAAGAAATTTTCATTTGATTCAATCGTTTAAATGCATAGTCGTATAAAATCACTGCCCTCAAAAAATAGATCAAGAGTTTTTACTTCGTGTATCATTCATGATCTGAATTGATCTAAAATTGCTCTAAATTTTTAGTTCGTTGCAAAAAACCAAAAAAAAAAAAACATCACTGAGCAAAATATTCGCCCTTTGACAACGTGTCGCACATATATACGGATGGGCTATGGGTGAACTCGATACCTCGATGTGTGGTGAAGCGAGCACGGCTTCTTTATATTTCTTACGCGCATGGGGAGTCAAGATTTTTCAACTTGTCATTCGAGACATTATGCCTTTTTACGTTGCTTACTTAAATTCTATTATTCCTATAGCGCATAAGCACGTTTCGTTTCTTTAAAACAAAGTACACTTATTAAATCGAATAACATCAATTATATAGTACTTATAAGTCAAGCTCCTAAAACTAGCGACGTTTCCTCGAGTGCTAAAAGTTTCGATCCTTCACCTAGGTGGCGTGTTAGACACTCACAAGTGGTAAAAATAATTCTGATCTGAATATAAGTGGGCTTTTCTAACTGATGCCACGATTAAGGTGCGACGTAGCTTTTAAAGTGGTGCTCCGTTAGAGATCGAAGATTATTTCTTATTTTTCTTGACTGTAATAACGTCAATAGTCAATACCTACACTTGTCTGCAGATTCATGAATGCTAATAATACATTAGTGTGCAGTTGATCGATGGGCGAATTATGATGTAGTCTTCGTTCCAAAACTTGAGCGGATCCCGCAAGCTCTGCTGCGATTGTAAACATGTTCCCGACGAAAAATCCACATTCGTATTTTTGAAGGATTACGCGCAGCCACTCAGAACACGTCGACGAAACGAATCAACCATAAAGTACACAAAACGAGTCTTCTTAACGCGTCTATTATTCGTAATAATAATCCGCCAGCCCCGTGTAAGCTCCGAGCGAACGTCGTTTTCACTGCATACGCAGCCGGTACAAAACTGCCTCGTCACTGCCGCTACTCGCACAGCACGTATCGTTCAACATTATATCTAATTGCTTCGGGCCCGATACTCTCTCCATATATATATTTACGCAAAGTTTCGCACACTTACGCTCGTCTTCGTTTTACGATCGCTCGAAATTGCATGTGTGATTATGTATCGCGCATATAGCTCTTGTTTCGAGAACTCGCGAGTATATATAACAATGAGGCCTGGCCCGCGCCTCCATATCGATCCGATCGGTATATGAGCGCGTCCAGCATAAGTCGGCCACCCCGCGCGATTACGGCATTTTTAGCCGAAAGTGTCGTATGTTTAGCTCGTTCGGAAACGTTTACCAAGGGTCAGAAAAAAAATCCAAACCCATAAATCGATAGATTTTTTCCTCCTCTTTCTAGTGGTGTAACTCGAAAAATTCTTAAAAATTGATTTTGAGGTTAAAACTCGACTTGAATGTTTAAGTCCATTTTCCCAAAAAATGTATCCTCCGATTTCAATTTAAGTTGTACCAATCGAAAGAGGAGGCAAAAATCTATCGAAAACCATGTTTTCCAGGATGGAGAAATGATAAAAACTATTAAAGATATCGAGATGAATAGCGCGGGACGGCGCGCGCGGACCTGTTTTCCTGCCTATGTCTTTTCGACTCGCTAAAAAAATGCTGGAAAAATAATTTAAACACGTAAATTGATAGATTTTTTCCTCTACTTTCGATTGGTAATGTTAATTTTAAGGTCAAAATTGAAATACTAGAAGAAATATTGTCTTAAAAATTCAAGTCAAGTTTTGACTAAGAAAAAAATTTTTGGGAATTTTTCAATAACACCATCAGAAAGAGGAGAAAAAAATCTATCGATTTACGTGTTTAAATTATTTTTCCAGCATTTTTTAAGCGATTACGAGCGAGTCGAAAAGACAAAGACACGGCGCCGTGCGTGTGCCGCCGCTGGCGCACGGAAAACAGGTCCGCGCGCGCCGTCCCGCGCTATCCATCTCGATATTTTTAATACTTCTTATCATTTCTCCATCCTGGAAAACATGGTTTTCGATAGATTTTTGCCTCCTCTTTCGATTGGTACAGTTTAAATTGAAATCGGAGGATACATTTTTTGGGAAAATGGACTTAAACATTCAAGTCGAGTTTTAACCTCAAAATCAATTTTGAAGAATTTTTTGAGTTACACCACTAGAAAGAAGAGGAAAAAATCTATCGATCTATGGGTTTGGATTTTTTTTCTGACCCTTGGTAAACGTTTCCGAGCGAGCTAAATATACGACACTTTCGGCCAAAAATGCCGTAATCGCGCGGGGTGGCCGACTTATGCTGGACGCGCTCATATACCCACACCGCACGCGTGTTTGTTTACGCACTCGTTCGCGCGCGGCTCTGCGAAAAGGTATATAATTTTTTTCATGACTCGTTGCGAGAAAAAAGTGAGTCGGAGCAAAATTTCGTCGTCCGTAGATGTTTAACTCGAACGATATTATATTCATAAATGAGAGGCGTCGCATCCGCCTTACATGTGCATCAATTAACCATACCGAGTCTCAACGAAAAAAAGCTTAGGATATTAGTTAGATCCTCCGCGCTCGGCATTCCTCGGCGTCGCTGATTTAAGCAATTATACTTATATACATACTCACTCGCTGCGCCCACGCAAAAAATGATCCGCCCGTGCGCAATTAATATTCATATACATTCTCCGTCGTTCAACAGACGACTACAGCAGCAATTACAATCGTCCGACGACGAACGAGAGCCACACGGCGGTGTTCTGCTACGTCAACGGCACCCGCCTCGTCTCGCAGTCGCGTCGCAACACCTACCAGACCGGCCACTTCGGCGTGGAGAGCATCAAGGTCGAGCTGTGCACGCACATCGTCTACGGGGCTGCTGTGCTCGAGCCCAACAGCTGGGACATCCGTGCCATCGATCCGGACCTCGAGCACCGTCAGAGCTCGGGCAACAAGATCTCCTTCGACGATATTACCGAGTTGAAGAATCGCAAGAGGGATCTGAAGGTGCTGATATCGGTGAGCGGCACACCGACGGCCTTCTCGCAGATGGCCAAGTCGCATCGCGAGGTCTTTGTGCAGCACGCCAAGACCTTCTTGAAGTGAGTAGTAATAGTCTGCTTAATGATATAGCGATCGACGGGTAAAATAAATAAAATGAATTTGTGTCGTCGCAGCAAGTACAAGTTCGACGGGCTGAACATCGACTGGCAGTACCCGACCCGTCGTGGCGGCACCACCGAGGACAAGCAGAACTTCGGCCTCCTCATCAAGGAGCTCAAGATCATGTTCCGCAACGAGGCCAAACTCCTCACCGCCTCCATCTCCCCCATGCGTCAGACCGTCATCAACGGCTACGAGTACATGGACGGCGTCGTCATGGAGTCGGTCGACTACTGGTTCATCCTCGCCACCGAGTACTACGGCCACTGGTCCAATCGCATCGGCCCCAATGCGCCCCTTCGCGGCCGCGAGAATCTCGGCGTCGAGAAGACCATCGACGATCTCAAGTATCTGTTTCAGAAGCACGCCTACAAGCTCGTCCTCGTCGTGCCGTTCTACGGCAAGAAGTTCCAGCTGCGTGGCCCGCTGCAGAACAATTACGAGAGTCCGATCGGCAAGGACTTCGTGAACATGCACGCCCCGGCGGAGAACGTGATACTGAGCTATCGCGAGATCTGCCAGAAGATGAGCAACGAGCAGTGGCGCCGGGGCTGGGACAGCGACAGCGAGACGCCCTACATCGTCAAGGACGCCGGGGCCATCGTCTTCGACGACGCGCAGTCCGTTCAGGCGAAGGTATGAGAATAATTAGTTTGCGATGGGGTGACGATAATATACAGTGTCCGTCAATTACTTTTGACATAACTGAAAGAAAATGATCAAACTTACAAATTACGTAGTTTATCAAACATGAACGAATCAAGATTTTAAAATAACCATTCAAAAGATCTTTACGACCTTTGAAATTACGATAACTGACAAGGAGAGCTTTTTAGGTCCGGGTCATGGATTTGCTCCAAAATTTTTTTTGCGGTCTCTGAAGCTCCCTGTGCTTAGTTTGATTTCATGGGCCTTAGGGCCCATTTTTTAAAGGATTTTCCACTTTAAGAAAAAATCTTTGTTATTTTCTATATCGATATAGAAGTACTGAAACGAAAAAATGCAATGATTAAAAGTTTTAAAATTTTTCAAAGAATCTGCTTGAATTTTTCCAAAATTTTCCGGACCCTCTATCTCCTCTCTTTAAGAAGTCCTAAAATCTATTAAAAAAGCGTTAAATTTGGGCCTTTTGAATTAAGTGATAGGTGGTCCCGAAAATTCTGAAAAAATTCAAGCAGATTTTTTGAAAAATTTTAAAACTTTTAATCATTGCATTTTTTCGTTTCAGTACTTCTATATCGATATAGAAAATAACAAAGATTTTTTTTATAATGTGGAAAATCCTCTACAAAATGGGCCCTAAGGCCCACAAGATCAAACTTAGCACATGGAGCTTCAGTATTGAGTACCGGAAGACCCCCAAAAAAGTTTGGTAAAGATCTGTGACCTGGATCTGAAAAGCTCTCCTTGTGAGACAAGAAAAGCTAATATTTTTGATTCGTTAATTATTAATAACAAAGTTGATGAATAAACTTAAGAAAAATCAATATGACTATAAAATACTTGTAAAGACCTTTTGAATATGGTTTTATTTTAATATGTCGATTCTACCATTTTTGACTGAACTACGTAACTTTTAAGTTTGCACATTTTTCGCTCAGTTATGTCAAAAGTGCCACGAATCGAATTTTTCAATCGTCCTCCTCTTTCTCGACAGACGAGCATGGCCCTGCGCCGTGGCCTGGGCGGCGTCATGGCCTTCAGCATCGACATGGACGACTTCGACGGCGACTGCTCGGACGGCTCGGCGCACGGCCGACGCGGCGGCAGCAGCAGCACCAACACCGGCTCCAACTCGGACAGTTACAATTACAATTGGCGCGATCGGAGCGCGCGCAAGTATCCGCTGCTGCAGATCATGTACGACACCGTGGAGCGGGGCCCGAACTCGGCCGGCCTCGGCTCGGCCTCGCTGCTCCTGGTGACGATGTCGGCCGCGATCGCCACGATGCTCAACAAGCCTCAGTAAAGGGAAGGATGAAAGAATAAAATTATAAAAAAGATGGGGAACACATTGCCTTATAATTGTAGAGCGTAGGAAAGAAAAATAAATTAATTTACGTGACTGTATTGTTCTGGATCCGCACGATCTCGCTTGAAAGTATATCGACGATAAAAATCCGGACGATCATGAGCTTTTCGCGGGATCTAAAACGACGATGAAAATAAAAAAAAATTATGAATTTTCACGATGCTTATTATATGAATATAAATTATTATATACATTATGTAGTACACGATACTGTATTATAAACATTATGGCGTATTATTATGTGTTTAGGTCTTCTATCATTTAATTAATTGTAGTCTATATAGGAAATATGGACTCATTTTTTTTTCGTAAGCTAAATAATGTATGTGCATTTACATTAATATGTATTATAGATAATAATGCGAGAATAAAACGATGATATATATTTATGATTATTATATTTCATACGCTGTAAGAAAACGTTCGTTTTACAATGGGCGTAATAATATTAATGATAATTAATAATGTTGTACGAAACTTTTAATGGTAATGAGTATAATTTACCATTGTGCACGATGTGTGTATGTAAACCAAAAGAAATTCATTTAGTTTCGTAATATCTATGTTGATTTATTTTTTCTAAACTGTCGATCATTTTGTAAAGATGAGATTTATGACTCCTGCCGATTAGATTTTTATAAAAAAATGTATTTTTCTCTTCCACGATGACGATGTACCGTGTTTATTTCATACCGATGTATCGTACAAATGTGTTTAAATTTTATGTATTTAAAATCATTTTTACAATCAACTCTAAGTGTACTTTTTTGTTAATAATAATGATAATAATAATTAATCAAATAAAAACGATGTGAGTTATTTAATAATTTCATGACCAAAAGAAAATAGAATTTTAATTATTTTGTGAATTTATGAAGTGCTCAATCTTATTTACTTGAATACCAGAATTTAGAATTTGATGAGAGAAATAATAATTAGGTGTATTTATAATTAATTGCATGCATACGTGAATAAAGAAAGATGATGTTTTTGAAAGATAGGCAAGGAAGTTTTCAATTGAAAAGACAATAGATTTTATTTTATAAAAAAAGTTTATTACTACTTCAGTAGTGAATCACAAAAAAAGAATGCCAAGTGTTGATTACAATAATTCATAACTTGACAAAACATCTTAGGAGATGGTATTGAAATTTTAGTCAATACCTTGAAACAAAATACATTAGAACGTAAATGCAAGTGGACTTTTAAAGCTAATGCTTACTTTACACGTTTAACTTAAATTAATGCGTTGTGAATGAATTTCAATTATATACATTGAATGAATGAAAAACTTATTGAAAGGATTAAAATTATCACTAATAGTTGGTCTGGTCAGTCCCTTTAGGCAGCTTTGACAGTTGATTTCTTTCCTCTTTGGCCACCACGTTGCTGAGCGTTATCTTCAGCTTGCGGTTCTTTACTGGAATGGGCCTCTTGTTCTTTGATGGCGGGCTGTCCAGTATACTGAACCTTGATGACTTTTTCTTTCTTATCTTCAAGGGCCTTCTTTGTTGGTGCTGTAATTGTCAAAACTCCATCAGATGACAAGCGTGACTCGACCTGATCAACCTCGCATTGATTTGGAATCATGTATTTGCGAGTGAATTGTCTTGAAATCCATCCATGCTCGTCTTTCTTCTCCTCGTGCTTGGCATCGACGATTACGTGGTTGTCGACAACTTTTACATTGATCTCCTCAGGGCTGAATTGTTGAACATCAAGGGTAACCTTGAACTGGTCTTTGTCAGCCGATACAGTAGAATGGCCACGACCTTCTTTCCTCATCAAGCTATGGAGGAATGGATGGTAGCGAGAAACATGGCGATGGTGTCTGCCTGGTCTGTACAGCTGCAACTCTGATCTCACAGGAGCAAAGCGATCAATGATGTCTTCTGGATTGAGTGGCAGTCCAAAGTGTTGGTCAGCCAAGTAATGAGGTTCATCCAGCTCGCTCCACCAGTCAGAGAAGAGAAGTGGTACAAGAGACATGTTTACTTGAAGTTTCTGTAACAAAATGAATAATAAACTATGAGTATGCAATGACAAAAAAATAATTTCAAAAGAAATGAATGTGAAAAAAATAAGTTTAAGTTCTAGATTTATTTAAGAGCCAAGTGAGAATATTTTTATTCCAAGTAAAAATTAAAGGTAGAGAAATTAATTTGAAATTAACGCGATTGAAATTTTTAAAGACAAAAATTAATTTTGTTTTATTCAAAGTGAAAATTGAAACTAAAAGTTAAATTGACAGTTGATTATTTACCTTTTAAACTTGACAGACGAAATAACTCGATGTAATATCCGCAAAACGCGCTGTATACGTTGAAACGTAAGACTCGCTGTTGATGCACAGTAAACTTTTAACCACTCGTTAACAATCCAAATATACTTTTGCAATAACACAGTATATATCCAACGAATTGACTGTTGCTAGAGAGTCGTTCGATTAAAGAACGTCGTAAGTAGGTATAGTCGAGATCGGAATCTCAAGAGATGCTTTTAGCTTGGCGTTTGAATTGATACTGACTCGACTCCAGCCGGAGCGCCTGTATTTATACTCGGTCGCGTGCGCGGCAGTAGCGCTCGAAACGCCGGCAGATTTCTAGATACTTCTCGAAGCGCACGGCGAGAATATTCGCACAGTCGTGTATACGCTGACAATAGGCTCGGCTGCTGCCGGAGCTTCGCGAATGTTACCGACTTTACCACGCGAGTCCGTGCATAAAGTGCGCGGATATTTCGCGCGCTCCCGAGTCGCTTCTAGAAACGTTCTAGATACGACGTACAGGGGGGTGAGTTTCGAGAAAGAGAATCTATCGTTGCGAATTTCGCACGTAGTTCAGATGAAAATTTATGATGCTTATTGCATGTTTAGGATGGTTTCCGATTAATTTTTTTTGGAAAATAATCATGATAGACTTCTAACTGACTTTAGGGAGCTTTAGATAGTTTGCTGAAATAAGTGAAAAATTTAATCGATACTCGTAATTTATAACAAAATCAATGGGTTTTAATGCGAATTCCAAGTTCAATCATTACAGAGAGTAAATTCATACTGTTGTCATTATGAGCAATAAAAATATTTAGACATACAGAGATTATTTAAATTAAAACTCCATAATTAATTATCCAAAAGATTGAAACAGAAATAAGTTTAAATAAATAAATTAGTTGAAATTTGAACTCGAGTATTAACGTAATTAGTTCAGCAGATGTATTATGCAGTAAATTGGCTGTTATATGTCGCTTTTTCCACCATTACGTCGTAGTATTAGTGCGCCCATTCATTCGGGATTCAAAATTATCGTTGAAATATTAAAATTTTAAATAAAAATTATTTATTCGATTGAATATGGCATTGAAAATGCTATTTTTAAATAAAAATGTAACACGTTTAATTTTTCATTTGAGTTTGTGTGAATAGTGAAAATTGTCAATGATATTTCTATATAAATAATAGCTTATTTAGTTTCTCATAAGCCCATGAAATTTTTCTTCATTTAAGATTATTTAAATGGTGAATATAAAAGTAGATTGTTATATGCAAATAATATTTTTAAATAAAAAATTAGTTCATTTAAATTATTATGGATGAACGAAAATTTTCTTCAAAATGAAAATCATTCGAGTTTATGTAAATGGCGAAACTTGCCAATTTCAGATGATTTTTGTAAATAAAAATGTAACTCATTAAATTTTTCGTAGATGAATGAAAATTTTCTTTGTTTGAGTTGATTTGAATGATGAAAATTAAATTTCCAGTTGAAGCTTTTGAATGACTTCGGAAACATGTTGTTTATGACAAATGATATTTTAAAATTCAATCTAGCTCATTAAATTTGTTATAAATTTACCCACGTTCAAAGACTGTTATAAGTTTAAGAAGGTATTTCATTATCAGTAAAAATCATCATGATCCATAGGTTTTATTCAATTGAGTTTTTCTAAATTTTCAAAAGCAAATACTTCAATCATGTTTGATGATATCTAGAAAACTCTCGAATTTCAAACAATGTTTAGTCAGCTCGTCAAAATTTAAGAATAATCATCTCAATATATGGAATAGGGTGATGGTAAATAACAACATGATAATATGTTTTCAATGGTACTTGGTCATTTATTACAAAACTTACGAAATATTTATACACAATATGACTTAGAGTTTTGAAAAGTATTACAATGACTAAAATTGGCGCATCATAAATATTACATAAAATACGAGTTGCGTATTTAGACAAAAAAGGAGAAAATTTAACAAACTTATTATTATGGCAGGCGATAATTCAATGAGATTAAATTAAACACACGCACACACGTACATATACACGATCGTGTCGTTCATTCATAACATCGTACGTACACACACAAACATTCGTCATTGATAAATGCACTTAAAAATTTCACACAATCGAGCACCGAACATAGTCTATTTACAAGAATGAAAAATCAGTCAAATCAAAAATTCGCTCTGGGTATTATTACTGCTGCTTCTCGGTGGTAGCAGAAGACGCAGTGGTGGTGCTGCTGCTGCCCGAGCCGAACTCCGGCTCCTCGGTGGTGATGCTGATCTCGTCGTCTTCCTCAGTCTGCTTCTTCTGCTCCTCCGTCTGCTGCTCTGTGAGCGCCGGCTTGCCCGTGTACTCGATCTTGATCCTCCTCACCTGCTCCTTCTTCTCCTTCTCCTTGTCCAGAGGCTTGAGCGGCGCCTGGATCGTCAGCACGCCGTCCGACGAGATCTCCGACGCGACACGGTCGAGCTCCGCTCTCTCGGGCAGGGCGTATCTGCGCACGAACTGGCGCGAGATCAGGCCGTGCTCGTCCTTCTTCTCCTCGTGCTTGGCCTTGATCACCAGATGACGACGTTCCTCGTCGACGCTCACCTCGATCTCCTCGGGCTTGAATTGCTGGACGTCGAGGTGGACGCGGAACTCGTTCTCGTCGTACTTTACCCGGGAGATGCCGCGGCGCTGATCACCGGCCTGTTGGCGCAACAGCTCGTTCCAGGGCCGATAGTAGTTGTCGAGCAGCGAGCCGACGCCGGTGCGATCTCGCAGGATGGACGATGATGGCAGGGCGTAGTAGTAGCGAGAGAGCAGCAGTTGCTCGGGGCTGAGCGACAGGCCGAAGTTCTGGTCCAGCAGACGGTTGGGCGAAAGTTTGGGTCCGTCGAGGTCGCCGCCGAAGTAGGCCGTCGACAATAGCAATGGCAACAGTGTCGAAACCATGTTCGTTGATCACTTGTAATTATCTGCTTCGTTCAAATATAAATAAATTTTCTTCTCAAAAGCTCAAGAGAAAATCGTTATAGCGCGCAGTAAACTCTGCGTGAGTCTAGTCGATTCGTGTTATAGCTTTGTAATGCGTATTGTGTACTGAATCGGCAGAGGGGCTCGGCTCCGTTTATATACCGGTAATCTCTATAACGTATACAGCCGCGCGATATGGTGGGGATCGCTCGACGCAGACGTGTTCGCAGACGCGCGGGTACACGTCAGGAGACTTCGCGCAAACTGAAGAAGATTCGCGATGCAGCCCGCGCGACCTTTCCAGAGTCGAGCTGTATATACCTTGACTGTATGCGAGCGCCCCTGAACGAATGATGCAATTTTCGAGCGAGAAAAGTGTATGATGATGCTACGAGCTGGTCTAATACGCTTTGGACACGTAGAGTTTGAGTCAGCGACGAAAACGTTCGAATTTCGTTTCGTGCGCGCGCTCGAATTATCGCGATTCTTGTTTACAATAGTTTGTTGCAATTGAATGATTGAATGTATTTCTTTGACAATTTTGACAGTTTAATACAACATAACCCACACGACTGTTATTTGTTATTTTGCGCGAACGGTTATCTACAATTTAAAAATAAAAGGGATAACTCTCGACGCTTCGCGAATCATCGCATTCATGCAAGTAGATTTATCGAGAAATTTATGAACATTTCGTTTGAAAAAAATGTTATAGACACCGTATATTATGATTGAATATATTCTATAGAAAATTATCAAAATTTGTTTAGTGCAAAATTCATTGAAAATTTGAATAAAATCAATTGGATACTCAACAATTACAATAATTCTTCATTCAAGTTCAGGGACTTTTCTTGAATTTTTCTTTCGAAACTTTTAATTCAAGTCGATATCATTATTTTTTATTCACGCAAAATCAATTGATTTATTTCAGTTTTACAATTTGTTATATCTGCTGTATTTCAGTTCATAATTTTTTTACGCGCTGCCAAATCAATGACAAAATTGAACATTTTCAAACGATTTTTTTTTAATTATTTTTTTCGTAGCTCAAATTGGAACAAAAACTAAAGTTGTCAGCAGAACAATTTCTGGAAAAGTTCATTAGCAGAAATAACGAAAAGGGTAGGTCCGTTAGCTTCAGAATGAAATTGCAAATTAACATAAAAAATGTCACAATTCATAACGTTGAAAAGATCTATATTGAAAATTCTTTAAAATCGATTCTATTTTTGGCATTCGAAGTTCAATGCTCTATTACGTGTGCATTTCGAGCGCCGAGCACAATAGGTGCGATGATGCAATAATAGACTACACACGAACACCGGCTTGTTTCGCTCGTATTAATTTTTCTTCGACGCCTACAAGTACTCATACAATCGTATTCCATAAATCGGTATCGGTAGTCGCTAAATCAAACGATCGGAGTCATGATTTCGATCGAGATTTTTCAGCGAAAAGTCGCGAATAATCTAGCGTCGACATGCACCCTCGAGAAATGTCTCGAAGATCCGCGCAAAATAGTGCACCGCAGAGCGCGCCGGCCGCACGGCAACCAGTATATAAGCGGCGTCGCTCGGTTGCGCAGACTCAGTATCAAGTCAGAATCCGAAGCAAGCGCATCTATACAAGCTCTTGTACATTTAAACGTTTCGCAAACGTTTTTATCGTAAACATTTATTAAATTTCGTGTCGAAGTAAAATCAACAAAGAAGTCAAGATGAGATCGCGAATGACGCTCATTCCGAAGCTCGTGTCGCAGATGTGGGAGCAGATGGAGAGGCCGCATCGTCTACTGGACCAGCACTTCGGCCGCGACTTTTTCCACCCGGAGAGCTTCTTCAACTCGTCCCTGTTCGAGATGCCGAGGCGCGTCCCCTACGCCTACTATCGGCCCATGCTGGAGCTGATGAAGGAGGCGGAAGAGCAGAGCAGCGGCTACTCCATCATCAAGGACGACAAGGACAAGTTCCACGTCGCCCTGGACGTCAAGCAGTTCAAGCCCGAGGAGATCAATGTCAAAGTCATCGACAACTACATCGTCGTCGAAGGTAAGATATTCTCTTTGGTATTTGACATTATCTAGTTCTATTAGAATTGTTTGGAAAAAATTAGTCGAGTCAGATAATTATTTTACTTGGATAGAAATTTAATGAATAATAATTGCTTGCATTGCATCAAGTATTAAATACGTTTACTTTTAGTTTTAATAGAACGTAAGTTTTGAGTATTGACAGAATTGTTGAAAAAATTAGTCGCGTTAGATAATTAATTTACCGAATTATTGTTTGCATTACATCGTAAACTAAACGTATTTTTTTCGTTACTTTCAGGCAAACACGAGGAAAAGCACGACGACCACGGCACGATTTCTCGGCACTTCGTCCGCAAGTACATGGTTCCCGAGCAGTGCGACCCGGAGAAAGCCTCGAGCACTCTGGACTCCGAGGGTCTGCTCACCATCACTGCCCCGCGTAAACCCGAGGCCATCGAGAACAAAAAGGAGCGGGTGCTGAAGATCGAGAAAGTCTCGACGAAGCCACAACAGCAGCAAGTCGAGCAGGGCAAAAAGGAAGAGCCGCAGCAGCAGCAGCAGGCACAGACCGAAAACAAGCAGAAGATGGCTCAAAGTCAATGAGAGAAAAGCCGACGAAGCTCGAGAACCTCGAACGTATAGTTTCCTAATTTTTTCCAAAGACTGTTTTCTTTCGAACGATCGATGTATTTAAATTTAGTCATGTAGTTGTGTTACAGTTAGATAGGCCTTTTATACTTGACGACGTATATGTCTTGATTGTGTGATAAATTTGTAAAGATTAGATGTAAATATTTCTTGTAATAAACGCCATATGATGTTAAAAATTATAACGGTTGCTTTTTTATTTATATCCTAGCAGTAGAATTCTAAAATGTTATATAATTGTATTAAAATTTTCCTCGATATTTGACATTTATAACAAAGCATAACTTTCTGAAGTGATTCGATAATTTTGAGTTTCACAAGTAAATATCTGGGATTCTTGAAATGTTGTCTAACAATGAAAGTTTAAGAACTAAAGATTTTTATTTTTACTTCTGAATCAAGATTAAAAAATCTAATGATTATTTTGAAGATTGTTTTAATGATTAGTATTTGTTAAATTGAAAAAATTACGCGTAATAAATTTAATCGGTCTCACGAACTTTTGCTCCTTTCTGCTAATAATATTATACATTGAATCATGACATAATTTATTGCAATTACAATATTGCATAGTAAGACAAATATTAGATAATAGGCAAGTTGATATTATACGTCTAAGAGTTGAATTAGAAATATTCATCATACGATTGGCGCGGCTCTATCAAAGCCCACCTTAGTAAAAGTATAATAAAAACATTTTTCGAACGGACAGTAAAAGAGAAAATACTTGCCAGTGGATAAAAACTTCATTGTTGTATTTCGCTTGGGAAAAATGCATAAATGAAATTACTAACAGAGACTTGTTCTTTTTATTAGTTAATTATTGGGCGAAGCAACTGTGTTTTTATTTTTTGCAAAATTGGGTATACAGGAGACATAGTTCTTACACATGGTTGTTGTTTTCTAAATACGGATATTTAATTTAAACTATTATTTATGTATCAACGCAGAAAACGACATCTAGCGAGATATTATAGGGACGTGATTTTTGAGTGAAGTGGACGACACAAAAATAAATACTGTAGTATAAATATCCATATTCGCTTGCAAAAATTAATTTTTTCGCTAAAAATAGGGGCCCAGAGCTACACATAGAAAAATGTATTGTAAAGGTTACCATCCTTTCTGCTAACTGAAAGATATACTCAAAATTCGGATAAAATTTATCATTTATCGTGAACCACTTTACTCGTGAACCACTATTATTTACCATTTATAGTGACGATTTTAACTTTACCCAAGATTTTTTTACAATTGAAATTTCATGCACAAAATTGCACTTTTGTGCGTTAATGGGTTAATGACAATATATTTTTCCAAATCAAATTTGTAATACTTTCTTACAAAATTCAACGATTCAACAAAACTCACAGAAACTTTATCGAACTCTGTTGGCATTCAGCAAGTTGTAAATTGTAATTCAAGAAATCACATGCGTGAGCTTGGACGTGAGTTCGTGATTTATAAAGTTTTCTTGCGTTGAATCAGGGGTTTAATTGAAGGTATTATTGTTATTCATATCTTCTTCAGTGAATTTTTAATATCTTTTTTTGATAAGACTCCGACTTTTTCTTCTTATAGTAAAATAAATCCAACATACAATAAATAATTGCGAACTTCTACAATTTTTACTGGTCATAAATTCGAATTGGACATTCTAGCTAATACTATCTGGTCCAAAGAGTTTTGGACTCAGAGTTTCTGATACGACTGATAAATCAGACTTTTACCAATGGCACAACTAGCGTAGGCAGACGAAACTGCCGATTGTTCTTGGGTAAAATTAATGATCATCGATCGGATCAATTTGTGTCGGTTCAACTCGGTACTTAGCTGCATTATGATGTCTAAAAATTGAATTTAACTTAAGGTTAAAAAATATTATTAAAAATTTGAAATTATTTACTTACATAATTTGAATGGAAGTGTCTCTTACATAAGATAACTCGTCACTGTCAATATAATCAGCTATTGCTCTCAGATAAGATCTAATTATTTTCAAG